GCTCGGATGCAACCCCAAAAAACCGCAATATTTTACAAAATAGCTTGTAAACTGGCGGGTTGAAATAAAAACATGATTTTAAAAATTGTTGCAAGCTCGCCTTTTTTAGGGCTTTCGAATTGTGTAGATATCGTTCCGACCCGATACTTCTGCGCCCAGTTAGATGGGGGTGTTTTTCATTGGGAAACCCTGTAGACAAAGCCTTCTGATTTTCGAAATCTTCCTCCCAAAGTTGCAGGTAGCTCATCACGCAAAGGACACACATTTTGATGTCTATGCAGACACGCTGGTGAACGAATGGCTGCAAGGCGACCGTGAAATTATTCGTATCCAACCAGCGGGGGAGGAGCCGCTTCTCGACTATCCCCCGCTAGACCCCGTCTAGGCCCTATGAATCGAGCGCCCTTCCACATAAAGTTACCCTGAAGAAAGAAAAACGCATCTCCCATGCAAACCTCTTTGTATTGGCATGCGGCGCAAGCTTAAATTGCTAGTGTCGTTATTAGGCCTGCGGCGCTAGCTTGAGCGGCTAGCTTCGTTCTACAGCCTGCGGCGCTAGCTTGAGCGGCTAGCTTCGTTCTAAAGCCTGCGGCGCTAGCTTGAGCGGTTAGCTTCGTTCTAAAGCCTGCGGCGCTAGCTTGAGCGGCTAGCTTCGTTCTGAAGCCTGCGGCGCTAGCTTGAGCGGCTGGCTTCGCTCCAAAGCCTGCGGCGCTAGCTTGAGCGGCTAGCTTCGTTCTAAAGCCTGCGGCGCTAGCTTGAGCGGCTAGCTTCGTTCTGAAGCCTGCGGCGCTAGCTTGAGCGGCTGGCTTCGTTCCAAAGCCTGCGGCGCTAGCTTGAGCGGCTAGCGTCGTTCCAAACTCTGCGGCGCTAGATTGAGCAGTTAGCTTGATTCCTTGGCCTGCGGCGTATGCTTGAACGGGTAGCTTCATTCTATAGGCTGCGGCTTGAGTGACGAACTTGATAATAACGTCCCTACACGGAAATCTCCTCCGAAACGCACTTTCCGAGCAAAAAGCAAAACAATTACGATATCCGAGGATCGAACTTCCGATGGTTAGATTAGCACGGCAAAGCGCTAACCACTACACCATGCAATGCTTGGCAGCACGCGCCAAAAACCCCTTTCGGGGATTGTCCGGGGCCGCGGGAAGGAAAGGCATCGAGAGGCAGATCCAAAGAGACGACCAAACTCGCGAGTGCAACTGGCAAGAATGAGGAAATTTGTATTTTTTCACTTTATGCAAATTAGCCCTACCGCACCACCAAAAAACAATAAAACCGGCTTTAACTTTGTAAACTTGTATTTTATCGGGATTCTGAAAGCGCCATCGGAAAGAGGAGGGTCGATTCCCCCGGGTGACGGAGAATTAGGGCATTTTGGACACGGGAAGGCCCTCAAATCGGGCCTCGAAATTGACATCCACACACACATACACACACACACACACAGATACACTCCAAAATGATATAAGGTAGGATTGAAGCTCTTAAATACTGCCTTCCTCTGGGGAGCGCCGGACCCACCCACATTTTTGGACTCCTACCCAAGCCTTTACATCGAGAAGGCTGGATGTAGCTACTACCGTATCAGACGTGCCAGTGGCGAAGCGCTGATTGTCGCCGTCTCTGATAACCATTTATTTTTCCGCTTTTACGCTCCTGAGAAATTGAAATTCGATTGCCGCTATGTCGACGGTATCATCGATCAAATTACTGAATTTGCCAATTGTCGTGATTGATGAATGTTTTGTGACCCAAAAATCCGTCCATAAAGAAGTGAATAAATTAAATCTTTCAGCTACACAGTGCTAATCTTTTTGTGGGAATACACAACAGTCGTCAAATTACTTATATTAGCTCGATGAAATCGCTCTCATCCCTGGTTTTGAGGGCCACAAATGGAACTACAAAAACAAATAACCACAATTTAGGCCGAAAAAACTGTTTGGAATTGCGAAAAAAAACATTGTTTTCGTTGTAACTCGAGAACTATTTGAGCAATCGGGCCGTAATTCAGAAATGTTGATATTTGGCGCCTGACGCACCTCGGTTCGAATTTTCGGAACGATCGGATGTAAGGCGGCCAAATATCCGATGGGCCCTTTTTGGGATACCAGGTTTCAGACACGTAGCATCGTGGAAAGCACAGGGTTTTCGGTTGGTTTAAGCTACTCTTACGCTACGCTACGCCGCGACCACGCAAGGACTGGCAATTTCTCCTACGGCGTTAAATGCAAAATCGCAAAGCGGGCAGGCCCTGAAAATTATAAACGACCGTGCCTGTCTCTCTTTCGCTCTTTCTCTCTCTCACTCTCTCACTTTTTCTATCTCCCTCTATCTTTATCTCTATCGCTCTTTTTTCTCTATATCTGTTTCATAAAACCCGGACCCAATGTACTAAGAATATCCACATTTTTTGAGGCGACTCCAGTCCTGGTTATGATTGCTCGGATTCAACAATTGATGGGGGTGCGAGGAGAGGTGCCATGGGTAAATATTGTCGATGCCCTTGGCCTTTCAGGTCGTGCGACAAGTGGATCATTGCCAGATATCCCGCTGCGGGGCTAATGGCCAAGTTACACCCCCGCCCCCTTAGTTGGCCAACCCTATGTCCATTTCAATGATCAGTCCAAGTTTTTGCCTATTTTGTACTTTCCGCTCGGCCATCAGAATCTTGGACGATTCATTGACCATGCAATTCATTGACGGTATTTATTCAACTATGCGTGCGCTTTCTCTCTCTCTCTCTCTCTCTCTCTCTCTCTCTCTCTCTCGCTCTACCTCTCTACCTCTCTATTCCTCGCTCGCTCACTCTCTACAGGGTGCGGCAAAAGTTCGTGGACTTAATGTTTCCGCCATAAAACGACTTTGAGCAGCCGTGAGACCGTCAAATTTGGTGATTTTGTAAAAAAAACTGATGCTCATTGAGAATTCGTAAACACTTTGCTAGTTCACGGAATTTTCGAAAACGGAGCTATAGAAGTTACGGTTTCAAAGCCTCGCGGCACGCAGTCCATTCGGCCAAGTTCGGGATCTGCGATATTGATTCAAGCCGGGTAATTTTGGCCAGTTTAACAATTGAATAGTACGAGCATAGTAATACTCTCAAAAACTACCATAGATCAATTTCCGGTTTTCTGGACCCGTTTCAAAAAGCCTTGAAAATCGCCTCCTCTGAATGGTCATTTACGTGCAATTTTCAATGATTAGAACTCGTTGGGATTCAAATCTGAAGTTGCCACCATGATCGACAAGCTGTAAACTGTTTGGTAGCAAAAAATCGCTTCATTACTATGCACCGTTAAAATGCTATTGGTCAAAAAGCCCGGCCGGGAGCAGCGTACCGCGCAGCCTAGAAATGATATTAAAATGGCAACTTCTAAGGCTCATTTAGCAAAAATCTCGAGGGCTGCCGTGAAAAAGCGCATGAATTCTGATTCCCCATAACTGCTACTACAAGTTCGCTGAATTTGGTGACCCCACGAGCCCTCTATGTCCTTTTATGACCGAAAAAGAGAAAGTCCAGAAACTTTTGCCGCACCCTGTATATCACTCCCCATCTCTCTCTATCTCGCTCTCTCTCTATCTCGCTCTCTTTATCAGTGTTTCCTTACATACCACCGCGCTCCTTCTCCCTTTTTCATCTCCATCATCATCAGCTCTCTCTTCCTCTCTCTCCCTCTCTCTCTCTCTCTCTCTCTCTCACCGTATTTCCTGCGGTCTCATTCCATATCAGCCCCATTACATCCTTGCTATATTCCAGAATTTCAGATAGCGATGGACTTCTCCGCATTTCCCATCGATGTGCAACACGAGATCTTGAAGAAACTGGACATGAAAAGCTTCTTCAAAATGGCGATCACCAGCAAGACGATGATGGGGAGGGCAAGCAGCTGGCGCGAAAGGCCTTGGCACGTCGAGCTGACGTTTATTCGCGACAAAATCCGAGGCGAAGACGCTCGGAAATTGCTTTTCGAGAACCGCACGATCGGCAGACTGACCGTTCATCGAGAGAATCCAGGCGCCAACGACGTCGGTGTTCGCGCCCGAGAGTTCGTGACTCGCTTCAGGCACCAAGACCTGCTAGGCCTCCTCAAGCGCCACAAGCCACCCGGAAAATATGCGTACCTCAGCTGCATTTACCTGCCGGCAGATCGCGAACTGATGAAGTGGATCAATGAATCGGCCGACAAGCTGTACTCAACCAACTTCACCGAACCCCTGCCGGCCTACATTCACCTGAGGGTGCCCCGGATGAGGTTCGGCACGCACTGCTCGTTTGACCACGAATTGGGATTGTACGCGCAGATGTTGGTCGAGGAATGGCTGAGAGGGGAGCGCCAGATCGTTTCCATCGATGTTCATGGAATGAATTATGATTATGAGACGGGCGCGGCGCACCCTGCACTTTTCGGACGATACCCGAAGCAAACCGTGGACGCCGGAACGCGAGGCGCTTGGACCTACTACCGCATCAACCGTCCGATGGATGCCGAGGTGCTGATTGTGGGGATGCTGGGCCATCTTCGCGCCGTGGCGATGAAGAAACTGGATGAAATACCGAGATCGAGTGAGATTGGAGCGTTTGCATACGGTGGTTAGTTGATGAATAAAGGCTCGCTTGTTGGATAGATGGCAAGAAAACAAAATGCAGGCAAGGTTGAAAAAATCCAGCTAATAGCCCGGTTTTAGGCCCTCTTCGAAAGGCTACGAAAAACTTGTGGTTGTTGCTTTGTTAGCGGTTATATTGCACCTAGACCTCGGCTGAGAATTCCGCGCGTTCTGAGAAAACTGAAAAAGCTCATTTGTTGGATGATATTGATCCTAAGATGCAAAAAACATGGTAGTAAAGATTCCGAAAGCACCTTTTATTCCAAAAAAGCCCAAAAAATACAGAAAAAACACAAAGTCTGGTATATTATTACATTATGGACATGGTAGGAAGGCCCGGTTAGTTGGTCGTCTGGGTTATGGTTGACGTGGGGTACGGTAGAGCTTCAATGGATGCGGTGGCGCCAGACTCTGCACTCGCGCGGCGGATTCATTGGCGTATTCGGCTAAAAAGACGCCTAGGTTGTTTCTGTCTCTTTGTCCTTCTCTCTCCCTCTCTCTCTCTCTCTGTCTCTATCTCTCTCTCGCGCTTTCTTTTCTATTCTCACCTTGCACTTGAAGGTCGTAGCGAACGGTTTAAAATTTTGGAACAGCCCGTTGAGACGAACATTCGGCACCGGGTGTCGACTGAAAATGGCGCTCTCTTTTTTAGGGCCCAAAAAACTGACTCCTCAAGCCAGCGGCGCTCTCCTGGTGTCTGATTCGGGTAGATGGTGTCCTGGCGTCCGCAATAGAACTAGAAATTTTTGATCTGTTTCAATTCCGATGGTTACCTGGGCGTTTGCCAAGTAGAAGAGCTGATCATTGGTGAATTCTTGGAGGCCGGGCAGCTTGGGTGGGTTGCGGCCGTAGAGCTTCTGCCGTTTTTCAAGGTACGCCTGGAAATTAAAGATGGTAGAGGATGGGGTAGAGATGCGCGAGAGAGAGAGAGAGAGAGAGAGAGAGTGAGAGAGATAGATAGAGTGAGAGAGAGTGAGTGAGTGATAGAGTGGGAGAGATAGATAGGGTGAGAGAGTAGATAAAGTGAGAGAGAGTGAGAGAGATAGTGAGTGAGAGATAGCCAATTTGCCGAAACCTACCCTCCAAGCGATGCGAATGCCGTTGTTATCCGGGAGGGCCTCGATACGCTGTTGTGCTCCGTCGGCCTCAATTTCAGAAGTTGCTAGTTTTCACGTTTCGTTACCTTGGCGGTGATGTTGAAGCGTGGGTTTTCGTAAATAATGTTGCCGAACTGGTCCTCGAAACATTTGGCCTTCCCTTCAAACTCGTCTGTGTCGTTGCCAACATTTCCCGAGGGCAGGTCGCCTAAAATACACTCATTTCGCCGGAACTAGAAGTTCAAAAATTTCTAAAATCGAACTTGTTGCTAAAACTGTTAAAACCTCACCTTGCTCATCGAAAGAGTGCGTCAGCTCGTGTGCGATTATTTGTCCGATGCCCGCGTAGTGGAACTCGAGCGGCCAATTCGGGTTGTAGAACGGGGCGGCGATCATGCCGAGGCTGATGGCTGAATTGATTTGGATTTTTGATTTGAAGTGGCTCGATTTTTTTTAAAAGCTGCAACGAACCAATCAACTTGTTGCCCCCATTAAACGCCCTTAACGGCATGGCCGGCTCGAGCGCCGGCTCCCCCATCAAATCCTGGAGGGTCAGAATTGGGTGGCTGTTAACGAACAGTATACCATATGTTGGACGAACCAGGCTGCCCGTTCTTCGAATTGCATCATGGTGATCAGGGTCCATTCGTCGGGTACCGGGAGCTAAGATGTTAATGGTATGCTAGTGATTTGGTAAGTGAATGTCGAAAATAGAAGCATCGTCATTTTTTAACGATCGGCATTCGTAGTACGAAACGCAGCAATATTACGGTTACGAATTTACGTAATTTCGACATTGCGGGCTTGCAATCATGATATTGAGATTTATTTTGTCAAAATTTCAAAATCTCAAAGTTTCATAGTGCCGAGATTTTACGGTTTTGACGTTTTCTAGCTGATTTCTTCATGAACATTTTGAACACTGCGATTTTGCGGTATGGAATTCCAAAATGATGAGATTTCGGCATCCAGAATTTTTATAAAATCATTTTTTTTTAGTTTCATCGACCTTCCAAAAATAACACTACTCCAGGAACTCTCCCACCGTCTCGTAGAATCCATCGATTTTCTTCTTATCCAGCGCGTTATTATTGTACCCATAATACTCCTTGATGGCGTCGAGCTGGAAAAATGACCCGTTTGGCCCGTAAAATACCCGTTCTTTGAGGTAGGTCTTGGTCTCCTGGTTCAGCCACGTGTTTTCGTCGAACACTCGGTGAAAACCGCGGCGCATCTCTTTGCCCAGATTCTGATTTTGCTAAATGTGGCTGCGGATCTTTGAGTTACCTTCACATCTTCAACATCACTTTTGAATCGGATCTTGCTGATGGCGAGGTGTTCGGTGAGTTTACGGAAGTAGTAGAGGACCTGGAAAGGGCAGCAAAAAGATATAAGGTACTGGACTTTTAGCGGTGCAAATACCCGTATTTGGCATCCAATTTGGGCCCGTTGGTCGAAGCGCTCCTTCAGATGGCGGGCCCAGTTCAAGAATAAGAAGTTCTGGACGACATGACGTGGGGTGTCGAGCAGAACTTTCGAGATCTGAAGAATAGTTTTCCCTTCGTCCTTCACACGCTCAACCGCTGCCACGTCATACTCTTGCTTGTACGTGATATGCGTCTGGCCGGTGAGCTGCCGCTCGTAGTTTGGCAAATGCCAGCGGATAAAGTGAAGCCAGTCGTACTATAAAAACGTATGTACATCTTCAGATCATTTTTTGACCATCGGCGCGATTGATTGGAATTCGTTGATCGAATAGTTGAACTCTTTGTTCGGCAGCTTGTTGTCGAATACCTGAAAGGACATTAGAAATACATTTCCGGTTTTGATAGACCGCGCGCAGCTTCATGTAGAGCGCCACGAGCTCCTCGGTCTGCGCCTGACGGGTTTCTTTGTTGATGGTGAAGCCCAGTGGTTCCAAAGTAGTCACAGCCTAAAAAAGAAAAAAATGTGTTACGTCCTGCTATACAAAAATTATCTACAGGGTGTCCCAAGAAATCGGCCCCCTCTAGCGGGCCGCAGTCGTGTCCGATGTGGCGATTTAGATATCTATCAAAGGTCCTTGGAAAGGCGAGAAAACAAGCACTTTTCGTTTTTCAATAAAGGCATTTTTATTCACTAAATTCAGGGCCAAAATCCGTGAAAGTTGCACATTTTATGCAAAATTCGTATATCAATTTCTTGCTAAGGCAAACAGGACGAGGCTGATTGTACGCTTTTTAACAAATCGTTGAATATCGCGCGCGGGGTAAAAAATTTTGTTAAACGAAAAGCGCTTGTTTTCTCGCCTTTCCGACGGCTTTTCACTTTTACACAGCGCGGAGATTTGATGTTTCAATCGCTTATAAGACGTTTCTGTGACTGTCTTATGCAGCAGAACTTACTTTTCTATATTCCTTAGGCCTCCCTAAAAATTTCGGAGTACCTTATTGACTTCGTGAATCCCGGTTTTAGCGCATGAATACGCCTGAAAGCCTCATGTATGGCCTTACCTTTTCCACCGCCGTGCTCATCTCCATCTCCTCCTTCTGACCTCCGAAAAAGATATCCCACGGCTCGTTGAACACAAACTAGGTATCTTTGTGTTTTCCAAATTTTCACCCCCACCGAAATCTTCGGCTCGATGGTGGCCTCGACGCGTAAGAAGGTGTTCGGCGGACGGCTCCACGGATGGAAAAGGAAGGTCATGAGGACCGAATAGGTGAGGCTCGGCATTTCCTAAAGTATAATTATCGAGAGAGAGAGAGAGAGAGAGAGAGAGAGAGAGAGAGAGAAAGAAGCATGTGAGAAAAAGCGTCAATCTACCCAAAAATCAGTACCATTCCCGGCTCCAGCTCCTGCCCGATCAGCCGCACCTCGCCCAACTTTTTGACGTAATTCTGCAGATCGGCGTTGAAGTTCTCGGCACGAAGCGCTTTGCAGTTCTCATAGAAAGCATTGGCCTTCTCGACGGCTGCCATTCCCGACTTGTCGTTGATGATCAGCTCTGAAGTTTGGTTCTAAAAGGAGAATGACCCTTCATATTACCCAAGAGCTGCTGGTTGAGCTTGACGGAGAAGTCCATCACCAAAGGATCGGCGTGTATCTAGATTTTGGTCAAGTTTTTGGAGCCTTTAGTACTTGATTCCATCCACCACAGGCGTACTCGTGGAAGTCCTCGCACGGGTCGAGGGTCGGGTTCATGTTTTCGATCTGAAAGCGGAAACTGATTTTTTCGCAATAAGGGACGGGGGGGGGGCAAGGGAAAACCCTTAGGTCTGCTCGCATTGGGAGTGAGCAACCTTTTTCTTTAGTATCAAAACTTACTATTATGAATTGAGGAATTGTTTTGTGAGCTATTTTAACTTTTCCGAAACGCAAAAGCACTAGATATTTCATCATTAAATACGAAAAGTATAGATTTCGACGGCCAGTTTTTGACTAAAATTTCGGAAAGTGTTTACTTTACCCCCCCCCCCCCCCACAGGCGAAGGGTCTCAAAGTTTTCGGTATCTTCGCTTATTTTGTCGGGATTTTTGCAACGCCATTCGATAGAGCGTCGAAAAATATACTAAGAGTTTTAATTTGAGCCTACAATAATGTAAAATAAAAAAGTTATAGGAAAAACTTCCGGCTGTGGGGGGGGGGGGGGGGGGGGGTAAAGTAAACCGTAGCCAAAATTTCTAAACTTAAATTTTTAGTGTTACTTAGATAGCTCTTGAACTTTATATAAAGCTAATTAATTTTTGGTCAGAAACTAGCAGATGCTTGATATTCCCTTGCTAACCATTTCTGGGCCGATACAAAAAATCGGGATCCCTTGCGATAATCCGAAAGCACCAGATCCTGTCAGGTGTATGCTTTGTTAGATAGCCTCCAAGATTAAGACGCACTATCAAACTGGCGGCCTCTGTACATCCCTTGGTGGTGCACAAGTTCTCGATAACATTCGTAGTTGGACCCTAAAGACTCACTGCGGCGATAGCTGCTGATAAATACCGGAATTTCAGGAGATTCGGAAGAGTTTTGCCCAGACCCAGGAGCCTCATGTTGATCGAGCTCTGGGCCCGATTGTTGGCCCAATTTGAAGGAGACGAAAGCTATAAATAGAGTGAGTCGCGGATAACGTTGAGATACCGGTCAGCAAAAGAAGCACAATCCCCCCGATGCCGAGGACGAGCGGCCACGGGCAGGCCGTCTTCGGTTTTTCATCAATTGTACCTCAAGCTCAATTTGAAACTCTTCATAATTCCCACTTTGATCGTGATCACGCTCCGGGGCGAGCTCGGTTTCAGAGCGGAAATCGGACTCCATCGGAAAGGAATGACAATGGGAATGATGCCATTTTTTAGAAGTTAGAACGGTCGTGGTTATGTAAATTTAGTTTTTTAAAGTACGTCTAGCCCATTTTTCCATTTTATTGGCCGAGCAATGCCCAATTCAATTCAGCTAGGCACACAGACAAAAAGCGTAACAACAACGACATGGTGATTTCCTGTTATGTGTTGATTTTGCGGCGGAAACGATTTGGGTAGCGACTAAGCACTGGATAAAGAGCAATAACGAGTTTTCGAATGGCCTAATTTTCGAGCCTATTGTTTTCATTCTGGCTAGGTACATTTTGCTACTTTGCACAAAAACATGCAATTTGTTAAATAAGATTTTTCTAGAAATCTGGTCCCGTTAGGAATTCCCAATAGATTCACATTGTTTTTAACTAGCCCGCAGACTAATGATATCAGCTAGAAGCCATGTAGTCAAGCATGAAACGCCTGATAACTCACCTCCCCCCGGCCGCCAACGTAACCTATTTAGCGCTCAATTTCATTTATTGTTAGTCTGGGCCAAAAAAATGGGTGTTATTGCCCCCGTTCTGAAAATAACAATTCTCAATGTGACCAATTGTCGGTTGGTTATTTATGCAATCACTGTAATGTCAATTAACGCCCTATTTTTTGCTCTGAACACGCGCCGCCACTTTCGGCAAAAGAACTAGACGAAATACAACACGCAAATTTTTGCCAAGACTTTGTGTGGAGTCGAAAAATTTTGGTTCCTAGCCTGGGCGATGCCTGGAAAAGGGGACAGGTGCTTCTCCAGAACTGCGTCCACGTTTGAGACTTGAACTGTGTAATTCTGCCGCTACCCTGATCCCTCAAATAATTGCCTCTTGCAATCCTAGCTTTTTGAGATGGTGTTCTCCGATAAGACGGTCATGTATATTTGCTATGTTCATGGGTTTGCCGCGTATTTTACCAATGTTTTGCTGTTCTATTTGATAATTAACTATTCGAGAAAAGAGCTTGGTAAGATTGAAAATATGTTTTTTTTGCATTTTACCTACATTAAGACCGCATGAAAGTGATAGATTACGCTCTATCGCCTACCAAAAGCTAATTTTCACATTTTCAGGCACCTACAAATACCTGATGCTACTATTTACCACCTGTAACGTCATTTTTCCAATAATTTCCATCCTGGCAATGCCGGTAAGCTGTAAAGCTACATAGTCTATTTTTCTTTACACCTTGTTGTCATCAAAAATGCGTTTGTATTTTTTCCTGAAGGGATTCTACTGGTATCCCCTACACTGGCCCATTGCGGCCTCGTCTTCTGGGGTTTTACATTCGGAGTAATCTACCTTGTATCGGTATTATGTATATTTTAGGCAATATTAGCCGTCGTGATGTTCCATTTTCTTTATCGATATTTGGCCGTTAGCAGGTAAAGACCATACAGGGTGTCCCACAAAAAACGAACCATCAGGAAGTTTGCCGTGTTACATCCAATCAACCCCAAATTTGGACCAGAGGTGTATCAGACCCTAGATAACCACAATCCTGACTTATAGCCCCGTAGCTATAGTAGTTATAACAAAAACAAACGTTATTTTCCATTTTTCGTGGGGTTTTTGTGGAATTCTACCACCTAAACATTAAGTGAAAATGATCCGGTAGGCCTTCTTTATTTTAAATTTTTTTCCGGATTAAATTTAACTTCATCCACAATCACAATATAAAATTCGATTTAAGCTATTTTTTACAACGCAAAATTACCCAGGCTCCTAAGCAAAATTAGGAATTCGCAGCCGGAAGTCGATGCAAATAGATGCAAAGTCCAAAAAGGTGGCCGAAAAACTGTTTAAAATTGGTAACGGTATTTTTGTTATAACTCGAGAACTACTATAGCTAAGGGGGTTAAAAGTCAGGATTGTTGTTATTTAGGGTATGATACATCTCTGTTCCAAATTTGGGGCTGATTGGATGTAACACGATGAAATGCCAGACGGTTCGTTTTTTTGCGACACTTGTAATATAATTTGATTGACTGCTTTTAATTCGACTTTAGCCCGAATATCATTGGCGATCTGAATAAACAAAGCTATATCTACGTCACGCTGTCTATATTATTAAATGGATTGGTGTGGGGCACATCATTTCACTGCTCAAGCTATCAAATTGCTCGGAATAAGTAAGATTTCGAAGACATGTTCGTTGACTGGATTTAGAGAATATTTTCATGCAAATTTTTGGGATGATTTTGGGCTGGTGGCGGAGGACATACCCATGGTTGGACTGATGTTTGTGGTAGGCAGGCCCGTAGGAGGGGGCCCAGGGGCCCTGGGCCCCGAAATCGGTCGAGGTCCGAAAAATTCATAAGGGGGGACCCTTATGATTTTTAGTTACAAAAATTTTTCTGCCTGCGGCGCTGTTTATTACTGTTTTTCAAACAGTTTTTACTTAGGTGAAGCCTATTTTTTCAAAATTTTTTGCCTGCGGCGCTGATTTTTCATTGGTGAATCAATTGTTCATAAAAAATTTTCGCCTGCGGCGCGTTTTCTGCCGTGTTTTCACACGAATTTGAGTAGCGAACGCTTTTTTTTTTGCCTGCGGCGCTATTATTGACTTTTCGGATGTTTTAAAAGTGCCGACCGGGGGAGGTCGCCAAAATTTTTGGGCCCCCGAAATTTCGGTTCCGCTACGGGCCTGGTGGTAGGTGACTTTTGGGTTAGGCTATAAAACATTGCCGATAAAGACTACTTTATTAAGACACAAACCAGGGTTGTAAAGCCGCTTCGCGACCTTTCATCCCTGGACCCGTCTTATCCAATGAGAGTTCTCAATTTGCATAATTCTCCATTCTCCCAAACCGCAATTCTAAAAAAATCAAAATGCGCCTGCCCCTTTATATAGACTTTTCTCGCTTCCGGCGTATGCTAATTGGTCTCTAACAAAGCGGGGGCCGAAATTTTTACAATAACTTAATTTTAATGTCGAAAATAGCGCTTTTTCGACAGTTTGACATGTGCAGGCGTCTCGAGACGATTGCACATCTAATGACGTATCAAACATACTCTAAAACCCTTTCTCTACCGAGATACGACTGAAACATACTGAAGGAAGTTGCATGCAAAGTTACACACACACACACACACACATACACTATTTTTTATATATACCAGGGTTGAAAAGTTTGGTTTGTATTTTTGGACGTAAAATTCGCGATTAAAAAGACATAATGACGAAAATGAACCCTGCTTGTTGTCTCGCCTTTTCGAGAGCTTTCGATGGATACCTGCGTCGTAAAAATTGGGGACGACTGCGCGCCGCTAGAGGGGGGTACTTTTTTTTGGGACGTTCTGTATACCGTTTCTAGACGTACAATGACCAAGGCGAAGAGATCCCCTACTGGCCAGCCATCATCTCGGCTTGTATTTGCATGACGTTTCTCGTCGGCACCCTTTCTATCATAACTTTTTGCACGTTTCGGTAATGAGCATTTTTCGCATTAATTAGCCTATGACTGCAGGATTTATATCGACTTAACAAGGCATAAATTAAGCCAAAGAACTGTTCGAATGCAGCGGGAATTGTTCCGAGCCCTGGTTGTCCAGGTATGCAAATTCTGGATCTTTAGAACATCATTCTAGGCGTCATTCCCTCTTTTTGCCGAATATATCCCGTGCGGAGTTACTCATATTTTGGCATTTTTTGGAATTGGCATCTTCGGGTCTTTGTTTGGATACTGTTGGTTTTGATAGAAAAAACAAAAACTTAGATTTAGGCATGGTAATTGTATCTCTTTACCCTGTTGTAGACCCTCTAGGTGTCATCTACTTTATACGAGACTATCGCTACGCTGTAATGGGGAAAATATTGTAAATTCGTTTCCAAAATTTAGCTAGTTATACCAGAGTTTTAGAAGACAAAAAATTGGTCTCGATTCTAGCCATGGACAAAGTTATGACGGTACGTCATTTGGACTTTGGAAGACGAAAATCTATTTTTTCGGAACGACGTGCGAGTGGGAAAATACCACTGACTATCGATACAGGCATTATCGATGGAATAGGTGGCGATAAACCGCGGCAAAGTTTAAAATAATTTCTTAACTGATAAATATTAACAAAGTTAATAGACGATTTCTCGCTTACCGTTCAGAAACATTGCGACTTTTTACGAACATAGTTAAATGTGTTACCTTCACCAGGTCGCTAAGATCGGAGGTCAACAATACGTTCAATAAATGGGTATTAAAGTGGTCTGCATGCAAATTCTGAGGGTTACTTTCAAAATTTAAAATTCATAACGTCGAAATTCAGAATGTCAATATTCACGTAGGTCAATTTTCCGATGCACCCCCGAATCCTATGCAAAAAAAATCGACATTGTGCATTCGCCGTTATGAAACTTCGACATTATGAAATTTCGACAATATGAAATTTCACCATTATAAAATTTCCACATTATGATAGTAAAACGGTTCTTGACCTTTCATTCGTCAGATTTATTCAGTCACACGTAAACACGAATTCTCTAATCGAAAGGTCACATGGATTCTCCGTAAGTTGAATGTGCATCTCGAAAAGGTCGTTGATCTCCACCACCCCATACTGATCGTGCAGCCCTGCCACCAGCACAGCGCCATCACCACGCTTGATCCGATAATAGGTAAATCTCCTCTCGGGTGAGTGCAGCTTCGGATATCGTTGGAAATATTGATCGACAATTTCTGCGGGCCAAATGTAAGCGCTGGCCTTGATCGAGCGGATTTCACGCTCGCCCACCAGCCACTCTTCAATCATCATCTGGGCATAGTCGTATACCGCGACGCCACGGCGGGTAGACATCGTCATCCTGGGCACTTTCAACATACGGTAATCTGGTAGCGGCGCTTCAAGGGTTGCCATCAGAAACTCCACCGATTCGTTCAGCCATCCCAGCCCTGCAGGATCTGCGTGCAAGGGACCAATGCGAAGTTGGTCGTATTTCCCGAGCGGCTGGTAGCGCTGCAAAATCGAAAGCTTCTGAAGGCCCACATCTTCATTGGCGTAGATAAGGGTCCTGCATCGAATATTGATGCCATCTGGCGTCAGAGCCCCGAGCAGCAGCTCTTTGACCGTTGAATTGTGGAAAAGCAGATGGTATATTTGTTGAGTGCCCAAGCGTGATTGTCGCTGTATCTTGAATGGGAGAGCAAAGTATGGGTTTCTTCGATCGTTTTGGATAGTGATATCCCAGTATTTGTCACGGCAACCGCTGGCCACTGCGAGCATCGCCCGGCTGATGGTGGCCGTTTTGTAGAAGGTTTCAATGTCCATATGGCGTAGGATGTTGTGCTGGACCTCGATGGGAAAAGTGGAGAAGTCCATCGACTAAAAAGTAAAAGTTAGTTAGCTTAATTGAAAGAAATCAAAAGTGAGAGATCGCGGGAGAGATGTGGGTGAGAGAGGCAGAGAGGCAGAGAAAGAGAGAGAGAGAGAGAGAGAGAGAGAGCGAGTGTGCGAAAGCGAGCAAGAGAGTATTTTGCGAGAGACAGAGAGAGGCAGAGAAAGAAAGCGGCAGAGCGATAATGAGAGATCGAGTGAGTATGTGTGGGAGAGACAGTGAGACAGGGAGGAAGAAAGGGAAATAACGAAAAAGAGAAGGGGGCGGGAGAGCGAGAAAGAGGGAGAGCGTGAAAGAGTGAGAGAGAACGCAAAATTTCAAAGGCCAAGCTGGGCCTTGCATGAGATTTGCGTTAGAGCAAATTCAAAAGTGTCATCCATCCCTGCGAGGTGTGTTGTGCGCCAAAGTTGTGATGCTTGAGCAATGCCTGGGGCAAAGAGAGGTGCCCTGGGGCGAATCGCGAATCCAAAAGCTGATAGGTATTGCATTCATGCTGCCAAGCTGCCAAGAATAAGCTGGATAGATGTTGCGCTAATGGATTTTACAAACGCCGAGCGTGATACACTCTATTATTTCAGGCTTCGGTTTCCTGACTGACTGATTGACCCGCGCCCGTTTTTCAATAAAGTCGGCTCCATCATCCAATCGTGCGTTAAACCCACCAAGAAATTTACCGGATTTGTTGTGTCGTGCTGCCCATCAAAAGATAATTTTCGAACACGGAATAAAAAATAAGCACAGCATCGAGCGACGATTTGCCTATTAAAAAACCCAGACGTCGACGTGCTGCCTTCCCTTGGGACTCATGTATTTTCCGATTACTCAACTCTGACGCCTCAAAAACAGCCTCATCACCACACAATTCTGGCTCAGAAAAAACAGCCAGTTTTACTGGCATGCCATAAATCGTGTTGCGTTTAATGCGCAGATAATTTCTTACTATTTTTGCAATTTGTACGACTAGCTATCATCTGTGGGGTCAGCACTTATTCTAACCGAAACTCACAAGTAGTGGTTTTTGAGTGTCGTTGGCAAATCCCTTCGCGACCTAGCTCATTCGATAGAGAATTGAATTCTGAACAACCTCCCGGTGTTCATTTTTGAAAAACGCCTTTCCCTGGTTTTATAAACTTAAAAAACTTAAATGGAATTTTGACCAACTGTCGGTTCGCCGCATCAAAATCATGCCTAGACAGCTCTAGGGGAAGACGCCTCCAGCGCTGAGCGCTCAGCATCATTCGTGGCGCAGTGACTAACGCGGCTGTCTTCCAAAATTTATTTTTCCATCCTTTGCATGCTCGGTTCTTGTAGATGTAATTTTTTGTATTAAAAGTGGCCCCAGTATTTTTAAACAGGTTGTGCTTCCAATTGGGAGGGCTCACACTACCCTGGACCATAATATTTGTTTTTTGGTATAAATTTCCCTCAATGCGCGCAGAGCAGCCAACGTTGTGATAAATATTATTTTGAATCAATTAAATTATTAAAGCGTCTGCAAACGCTTTTATTAACAAAAAGTAGAACAAATTTTCTACCAAGGAACCGAACTTTCCAAAAAGATGGAAAAAATTTTTGGAGGCGGAAGCCTTAACCACTAGGCCACCATATCACCACGCGTTTTTGAGAAACATTATTTTAGAATATCTGTATGCAAATTATTAAAATCCCAGCTCTGGTCGGGTCTCTAGTTAGCCACTGTCATTTTTGCCTTTTCAAAACTTACCGACCGGTTCCCTGTGTATACCATTTCCTTCAAATACTAATTAGTGGCTATTCTTCCCGGAAAATTCCGAGAAAACCCGCA